CTAAGGCTGGTCCCAATCTCCTCCCCCTCCTTGCAGGTCAAAGCCTTCGGTCCCGGGTTGGAGCCGGTGGGCTGCATCGTGAACAAACCGGCCGAGTTCACCATCGATGCTCGAGGAGCCGGGAAAGCAGCGCTCAAGATCTATGCTCAGGTCAGCTAGGGTGGAGTGAAGTCTGGAGGGCTTCTTTTGTTCTGCTTTGTTTTCATTTTTTTTAACTTTATTTTGTATTTTTTATTTATTTATTTTTATTTTTTTATATACTGGTTATTTTATTTTCATTTTATTTTTTATTTTATTTTCATTTTTATTGTTTTATTTACTTTTTATTTTATTGTTTTTATTTATTTATTTTTATTTATTATTTTACTTTATTATTATTTACATTCTGAGTGTATTGTTTTGATAAGCCACTCAAGGTGAGGAACATACCTGATACACAAACACCTTCCTCATATTTTCCCCCCATGACAACAGCCCTGTGAAGTGGGCTAGGCTGAGAGATAGAGGGACTGGCCCAAGGTCACCCAGCTGGCTTTCATGCTTAAGGCAGAACTAGAACTCACCATCTCCTGGCGTTTGGCTCAAAGTCACCTAACTTGCTTTTTATGGCTAAGCTGGAACTAGAACTCCCAGTGATCTGGTGATTGGCCCAAAATTTTACCCAGCCAAGTTTCATGCCTAAGGCGGGACCAGAACTCACCGTCTCCTGGTGATTGGCCCCAAGTCACCCAGCCGGCTTTCATGCCTAAGGCAGAACTAGAACTCACCGTCTCCTGGTGATTGGCAAAGTTGGCTTTCGTGCCTAAGGCAGGACTAGAACCCATGGTCTCCTGATTTCTAGCCTGGTGCCATTACTCCTAGACCAAACGGGCTCTCTTGCTTGAAGAAGTGATGACACGAAGCCACCTCTACTGAGGAGCCTCAGGATGGGCCCAAGGACTTCTTTGACCCTCGAGGAGTAAGGTAGGAGTTGGTTTTCACCACAGGTTACTTTTCTTCCTAGGATGCAGAAGGCACCCCCATTGACATCAAAGTCAAGGACAATGGCAACGGGACCTTCTCCTGTGTCTACATCCCCACCAAGGCCATCAAGCACACCATCATCATCAGCTGGGGAGGCGTCAACATCCCCAAGGGTCCATTCCGGGTGAGTAACTCCAAGATGGAGAAGGGTGTTGGTGCAGTGGCCTGTCCAGTAGCCAAATCAGAGGAGGAAGAGGAAGAGGAAGAGGCGTGGGAGTCAGGGTCAGCATCAGGGCAACTGAGGAGCTCCAAGGAGTAAGAGGGAATGGAGGCAGCAAAGAGAGAGAGAGAGAGAGAGAGAGGGGTGGAGCCTGGGCCACCCGTCAGCCCTCCAATGGAGAGTCAACAGCCCCCAGGTCTGGAGATGGCTGATGAGGAAGAGGAGGAACAGCTGGATCCAGTGCCTGACATGCTGATGCTAAAAAGGCAGAGGAGAGGAGAGCAATGGAAATCTATGGGCCGGTCCTCGGGATGGAAGAGCCATCACTGCTAACAAACCCCCACCTTAGCTCTGGGAATAAAAGGCAGGGGGCAGAGAGGAATAGGTGTGGCAGACAGCTATTCCACTTCCGGGTGGACGGACTTGTTAGCCAGCGGTGAGAGAGAAACTTTTTGCCGGCGTTTCCGGCGTCCTAATAAAAGGAATCATTGAGTTCACTTCAGAGGGGTGGTCATGTTTGGGGAGCTGGGTCAGAACAGTTGTGGGGGGGTTCTTGGCCATCTTCTGTCGACGGTCCTTTGGGCAGCAGGGAAGCGTGTGTCCACCCACCCATGGACAGGTAGGACATCCCTGGCCAATCTTCCGCTGAAGCTTAGAGATGGAAAGTCCGAGATCTTGAAGGCAATCAACTCTTCCAGTTTCTTCTTACCATCACAGTCATCTGATTTAGGGCCAATTGTAATTTTGAACGGTCACTAACCAAACTGTTGTAAGTTGAGGCCCATCTGTATACATCAAATGTCCTCCCTCGAATTGCTGTCAGGATTCCAGCGATCGCCCTAAATTAAATCAAAAGCTGCGAGCCGAGCTTCAAAAAATTTCAAAAGATTTATTAGGAGCGACACGTCGGCATGACCTGTATGAAGCCGACTCTGAGACACGTAGTTTACAATCCCTATGAATGACCCTGTCTTCCCCCACCCCCGCTGGGTGTATCATAATTCAGATTCTCCCAATCAAACACTTTCATGGGCTGGGTGTCATCAATCACATTCTCCAATAAAGGATTTTCGCAGGGCACAATACCCGGTTGCCTAAGTTACAATCTTTGTGAGATATGTTTGGAATGTGCTTCTGAGTTCATTTGCCTTATGCTCCTTCGGGGTTTTTTGCCCCCCTTTCTCATGGCAACTTGGAAACAGGCGTAGGAATGTTTTTCAAGTTGACAATATATTTCAAAAAGGGTCATGATCACATGACTATGGGGATGCTGCTATACTTGTAAGAGTGAGGAATGTTCATGTCACTTTTTTGGGGGGGTGACATTGTAACTACGAATGGTTGTAAGCCAAGGACTACCTGATTCCATGACTCCGTTTTGCTCTTCATACGTTGGTCTGCTTTTCTTCCTCTTCACAGGTGAGTGTCGGAGAAGGTAGCCACCCCGATAAAGTCAAGGTGTACGGTCCTGGAGTCGAGAAAACTGGGCTGAAGGCCAATGAACCCACCTACTTCACTGTGGACTGCAGCGAGGCTGGCCAAGGTGACCCCCAAATCTGAGATCTGGGGGGAGACTATGAGTCAATGAGATTAAAGCTAACCCCAAATGTTAGGAGTTCCGGTTTTCAGCGCTTCGGGGCAGGCAGGAATTCGCGATCGTGCGCGGTTTCTGCCTGCGCTCCCCGCTGGAGTGCTCCGAGCCAGCCGGCTTCGGGGCTAAGCCACCCCGTAGAGGTGGTTGAAGACAGGGGAGATCTGGCAGGGTTAGGGTTAGGGTTAGGGTTCTGTTAACAGAAGAGCAGAGCTGGAAGTGACTTTGAAGGTCTTCTAGTCCAACCCTCGTTGGGTTGAGCCACCTCCCAAGGTGTCCATTCTGGAGAAGAAGACATCCCACCTTTGAATTCTGATCCTTCAACCACATCTATTGCCAAGACAATCCTTTGTGTTGGATTCTGGTGGGTTCATAGCAGTGTTTCTCCACCTGGACCACTTTAAGATGGGTGGACTTCAACTCTCATAATTCCCCAGCCAGCAAGGGTTAGGGTTAGGGTTGCTGACTGGGGAATTCTGGGAATTGAAGTCCACCCATCTTAAAGTGGCCCAGATTGAGAAACATTGGTTTATTTATAGAAAGATGCTGATGTTGTCCACCCTTCCAGATTCGTCCTACTCAATTGCCCATCATCCCCAGCAGCAATCTGGAGGCTACCCAGTTGGGGAAGACCTTCTGATATCTTCCATTCTTGTGATGGAGTTCCAGCCAACCAGGCTTTCTGGAAGGATTCAAACTGGACAAGCCGATAATCGGAGGCTGGCTTGTCCAGAAGAATCTTGTGGAAGCTTCATCCTGTTGGGTGCAGAGACCCTCATGAGTTTGACGAACGAGTCTTGTCCACAAAATTTCGAGATCCTTAATCCCATTTTGGCTTTGCAGGAGACGTGAGCATTGGGATTAAATGTGCCCCTGGGGTGGTGGGACCAGCAGAAGCCGACATCGATTTCGACATCATCAAGAACGACAACGACACCTTCACGGTGAAATACACCCCCCCGGGCCCTGGGCGTTATACCATCATGGTGCTCTTTGCCAACCAGGTAAGGCTCATGGCGCCATTGGCCATAGGACCAGGGATCTGGATCAAACGATTTGGGTCTCTGAGGGTTCTTCTTCTGCTTCTCCATTGCCAAGTTGCACGACGTCATGGCCAGTTTGGTCGAGTGGTTATAACACCAGGCTAAAAACTGTGCGCGGGTGAGTTCTAGTTCAGCCTTAGGCATGAAAGCCAGCTCTATAACCTTGGGCCAAACTAGGAGACAGTGAATTATAGTACCACCTTAGGCATGAAAGCCAGCTGGGTGACTTTGGGCCAATCCCTAGGAGATGATGAATTCTAGTCCTGCCTTAGGCATTAAGGTGAGCTGGGTGACCTTGAGCCAAACCAGGAGACAGTGAGTTCTAGTTCCACATTAGCCATGAAAGCCAGCTGGGTGATTTTAGGTCAGTCACTGGGAGATGTTGATTTCTAGTCCTACCTTACATGTGAAAACTGGCTGGGTAACCTTGGGCCAATCACTGGGAGACGGTGAATTCCAGTTCTACCTTAGCCATGAAAGCCAGCTGGGTGATTTTGGGCCATATATTTATTTTAGAGCTGTAGGAGAAGAGGCGGCAGAACTGGAAGGTGGAGTTAAGTGCATTATCAGTCTAGAATTGTTACATTCCCACAAATGTTCTAATTCCGGACACTCTTAAATTCAATGGATCCTTATCTGGTGCCGATTTAGAATGGAACTTGAGTTGACCAGGTTCTTGTGACCAGACGATTGTGCAATCAACCTTCTGAATTGCTACTTCATGTATGAACCTGATGCTTTATCTCTGGAAAAAAGAGCAAATGAACGAAGGAATTAGGTCCTCCCTTGAAGGTTCTGTGCCCATCCTGGTATCCACCTTCCTGATTCCTCTTCTTCTTCTTCTTCTGGGTCCCTGCAGGAAATCCCCACAAGCCCTTTCCACATCAAAGTGGACCCCTCGCACGACGCCAGCAAAGTGAAGGCCGAGGGGCCTGGCCTCAATCGGACAGGTGAGTGATGTCAGAGCGTTTGCAACATGACTACCTGTCAGGATTCCAGCAGTTACTCCAATTAAATCATGAGCCTCGAGCCACACTCCCGTAGCTCGACCCCCCTCTTTTAATGAAAAGAAGGACCAGGGGTGACACGATAGCAGTGTTCCAATATCTCAGAGGCTATCACAAAGAAGGGGGGGGGGTGTCAACCTATTATCCAAAGCCCCTGAAGGCAGGAGAGAAGCAAC